CCACAAGCATACAAAAGGCAAAACGAAATCTCAAAACACACACACACACTCTGCCCCTCATGATCCCTCCGCTCCGCCAAGCCGACCTTCGCCAGCGCCTGCAGCACCTCCGGCGGGCCTTACCGTAGAAAGCTGCTGAAGTAGCTGTCCCACCAGAAGGAGCGGCTGCGCAGGGCCGCCTCGGGCACCGGCTCGGCGAGGGGGTTCGCCGCCTGGCACCTGGGCGCCTCGAGGCTCGCCGACACACAGCGGAGGCGCCTCTCCGTCCGAGTGGCTTCCGCAGGGGCTGTGTGCGGACGGCGCGCGGCGCAAGATGCACACGGCAGTTCCTGTTGCAGAGGCAGGACCCTGCCGCCGTCTCGTGCCCTCGACACTTCTGCCTTCAAGCCCTTCCTCATGCGGTCGTACTCCGCCCTGGCCTTCCTCCGCGCCTCCCTCGCGCACTCCCGTCGGCGGTCAAGTCCGTTTACCAACGTTACGCGTGGCACCGCAGGGCGCGCGGCGTGGCACGGGGAGGGCTCGCAGGGCGCCGGCGCAGGCAGGAGGCAGCAGCAGCAGGAGGCGGCGGCGGCGGCGGCGTGTGTGCATTGCCGGGGCTCCTCGCCGTCGGGCTCGAGGGAGTCCGGCTCGACGTCCCCGCCGCCGCGCCGCGCCGAGGGGCCGCACCAGCCCTGGAACTTCCCGCAAGCGCACACAGGATGGAGCGCGACGCCGGCCGGGCCTTCGGTGACCCGCATCTGTGCGAGGTCGCAGGGCGCCACGCGCACCCTGTGCAACAGGTTGGCTGTCCTGAGCGCGCCGGGCGCCGTCGGCGTCTTGAGGCGAGGGTCCCCCGGGGCGCGCGAGGGCGGAGTGGACAGCAGCCAGTTCTCGCGGCCTGCGTGCGGAGCCTTGCTGCAGTGGCCGCCCATGGCGCCCGTTACGGGACCAATAGCGATCCTGCCGACCTGTTCAGGCGCGGCCGCGCGTTCCGCCCCCGCCTGACGCGCCCATCACACTGCGCGCGACGCCGCCGCTCACTCCCTCGCCGCCCAGGACACGCGCTCGGCGCCAGCCCCCCGCACGCCGCCTCATTAGCAGCCTCATTATCCAATCACAGTAATCCCAGTCGCATCGCCGGCACCTTCGATGGCACTGTTATTAATCACCTGCACCTACACTGGCACCGCCGCCATCAAGGGCACATCCGCGGGGCCCTCTCTGCTCGCCGCTCTCGCCGCTACACCTGCTTCCGGGCACTGTTCGGCGGCACTTGTCACAGCTGTAGCCTGGCCACACGCAAAGACGAAACACAAATCAACGCTCGCCACACGCCCGGGCCGCCCGTCACTCCGCCGCCGCTTAACCTCCCCCCCCCCTCCTTCCGCCACGCCGTCCAGCCCGGCCCCGCAGCACGTCACATGCCGGGGAAGAAACACAATAGAGGGGAAAAAGAGCATTGCTCAAATCTCGCTTAAACACACACGCACACACGCACGCGCACACACACACGCACGCACACACACGCACGCACGCACGCACACACACAGTCACACTAATACTCACTCTCACACATACTCATACATTCATACACTCATACTCATACTCACGCACACACACCATCACATATGCGTAATGAAAGCATCAACTCTGCGGAGGAAAGTCATGCCGATACGGATATTAGCGGTCACGATAAAACCCATTCGGAAGACAACAATGAAACTCGAGCGTTGCCAACGTGACAGACCTGATCACGAAAACAATGACGACAAAAACAAAGGACTCCAGCTGACCGTCAAGGGCTCATGACTCAGCAGAAAAAAGGCGTCCCAGTGGGTGCCAGCCTCCAAGGCACTCTGCCCCCCCCCCCCGTCCCCCACCTCGGCCCCTTCCCCCCTCCTCCTCTTCCCTTCTACATCCTACACCCTCTTTATTCCCTCCCCTCCTCTTGCCTTCTTCTTTCCCTCTTACTCTTCTCTGTTAAATTCGCTCCCCTCTCCTCCCTACCCTCTCCCTACCCCCTCTAAAACTGATAAGGGAAAGGGAATCAGAAAAAAATAAAGAAGAAAAAGGACCAGATAGAAGAGGGTCGGAGATAAAGGAAGAGAAACAAAAAGAAATGAAAAGCCAACACAAATTCATTAACGAATAGATACGAGAAATGAAAACCTAAACGCAGCAATAAAAAATAATCCAAGAAAATATACGAAAAAGTGAACAAGGCAAAAAGAGTGAGAAAAAATAATTCAAAATAATGAGGAAGAATAAAAACAACGATGATCATGAGGATGATAATGAAGATGATAATAAAATTAACAACAGTGATAATGAGGATGATAATGACGATGATAATAAAATTAACAACAGTGATAATGATGATAATAAAAAGAAGAATAATGATGATAATGATGATAAAAACAATAAGAGTAATACTGCTGCTGATGATGATGATGACGACGATGATGATGATAAAAGCAACAGCGATGATAATGATGAAGATGATGATAAAACCATCAATGGTAATAATAACAGCAATTACCATTAAACCAATAGCAACACCACCCCAAACTACCGCTACCAACAGCAGCAACCTCAACGCCGCGCGAGGGAGCCAGGCCCCGGGAACCCGTGGCCGCGGCCGCCGATTCGCCACAGCGCCGCCGAGCGTCACGCCCGGCTGCTGGACGGGCATTGTCTCGAGGGCGAGAGGGCAGCGCCGGCACCAGAGTGAAACAGAAGAACGACAGACACGGTAAGGTGTACAGAGAAATGAAACAAAACCCAGTCGCCCCTTAATGAGAGAAAGACAAACTCCTAATACTCGAGTGCGCGAGCGCGCGCAGGCAGGCAGGCACACACACACACACACACACCAAAAAAAAGCGTGGAACAAAATCTTTATTTCTCCTTCGTGTCCTTCTCGCTCCCTGATCTTCTGTCTGCTCGGCCTTGTCTCTCTCACTCCCTTCCCATTTCCCTTTCTCCCTCAACTCTCCGTCCCTTTCTCACTATCCATTCCCAGTCGCGTAACCCCCCTCCCTCTCCCCCTCCCTCTCCCCCTCCCTCCCTCCCTCTCCCTCTCTCTCTCTATCTATCTATCTATCTCCCTCTCTCTCTATCTCCCTCTCTCTTTATCTCCCTCTCTCCCTCTTTCTTTCTTTCTTTCTCTCTTTCTTTCTTTCTCTCTTTCTTTCTTTCCTTCTCTCTCTCTCTCTCCCTGTCTCTCTTTCTCTCTCCCTATATATCTCTCTCCCTGTCTCTCTCTCTATTTCTGTCTCTCTCTCTCTCTATCTCTGTCTGCCGGTCTCTCTCTCTCTCTCTCTCTCTCTCTCTCTCTCTCTCTCTCTCTCTCTCTCTCTCTCTCTCTCTCTCTCTCTCTCTCTCTCCATATTTATCTTTTTTTCTCTCTCTCTTTCCCCCTTTCTCTGTTTCTCATCTCTTTCCCCCTCCCTCTGCCCCCGTCTCTGCCCCTCGCCCGCCTCCTCCTGCCTGACCCAAGAGAAAGGAGAAGAGGTAAGTGAAAGCAAGAGACGGACGGATAAAAAGTCAATGAACCAAAACATACGCCATAAACAGGAAATGTAAACTGACCGACATGACCGTAAACAAAGGGGTGAATAAAAGGAGCAGAATGAAATACAAAAACAAAAGGAAACAGAACGATATTTGAGGAAAAAAAATACAAAATTGAGATGAAAGAGTAATCTCGATAACGGCCACTGTCCCCCCCCCCTCCTCCCGCCACCCCATCCCCTCCCCCAGACAAAAAATAGGAATCAACAGAAAAAAAAGAAAAAAAGAAAAGAGTAAGAAAATTCAAGGTCGAGCCGTTTTCTTTCGCGATGCTATTCCTGGAAACGTAATTCATGAGGTAATATCGGATCTGATAGAATTATGAATTTAGTGCAATCGATGGGAGAGGGTCTCTATTCACACAAGCGCGGGCGTACTCATAGATAAAAAAATACACACACTAAACAGCACAATAAGCCACACAAACGCGATTAAAGTATACGCTTCACTTTACTGTTCGCACAGCCAGAACGAACTACTTTGTACAGAAGTGTGGCGAGAGAGCAGAACACAAAACGGCGATAAACACTGGACACCGATATGCATAAACGATGAATACAAAAGAGAACCGCAATCAACACGCACACTTGACACATCTCCCAACACACAGGACCAGTGCGGATCCCTCGCTGTACATAGTCTGGGCAGCAAAAGATTTCCCTTGCTAATATGTAGGTCCTTTTTCTCTCTCTTTAACACGTGTTTGTACTCTAGACTGTGCGTCCAAACAGATATATGAATAACAATAAGAAAGCCTGTCATATGACAGCTTACGTTCGGTTTCTAGGCAGCGATCGACTGCCTATTCCTTTGGCCACTGTTTATGTTCATATGACACTCAACGGTGGGGGGGGGGGGGGGGCACAGCAGGGGAAGACCGCGGGAGGGGAGGGGGGCAAGCGCAAACAAGCACCCTCCTCCCTCCTGTCCACACACCCGGGGCACGGCGCATCTGCCTTCCGTTCGGGCACATGCGCTTCGCACGCGAAACGACACCACAGGAGACGGCCTGGGCGCAAGCGACACCGACCGATCGCAGCAACTCGGCGCCGCACCTTCCTCGCGACCTAACCAACGGTCCTACACTGGCGACGGCCGCCTCGCTAGAGAGGGTGGGAGGGAGGGGCCGCACCGCTGGCGCCGAGGTCTTGCCTGATCGCCCCCCTCCACCCACTCTTTCTCTCTTTCCTTCGCTCTCCGTCTGCTCCCACCATCCCCCTCTGCCTCCTCCCCTCCCCTCTCTCCCTCTCATTCTCATTCTTCTCGGTTTCTCGATCCTTCCCTCCTTCCTTTAAGCACCCGCGAAGTGCCTGACAAGCCGATGCTGGCGCTGACCTTGAGCGTACGCGTTGCGGCGAGGCGCTGGCGATGACGAGCGATGTGGAAGCCGCAGACAATCAGGGATAACTGTTCTTCCCTTTTCCTCCTTTCCCCTCCCGCCAGTTCCC